ACTAGTACCTACTGTTTGTACCTAAGTATGTATGTAGTAACGTATGTATGTATGTCTCTGTTGGCAAATCTTCTGCAAATTGATACAGGACAATTCGATTATCGTGTTCTCATCCGCGAACAGCGCTGTTTCATCCCACGGGCTCAGTCGATCTCAGAACCATTGGAACGAAGAGGCAGCCAACTCAACCCTGGGTCAGGTAGATAGTGGTTTAGCAGGCCGAAGCCGTACCGATAAAGATTCAGGCCGTCAAGGGATAATTATCCACGAGAATTAGGCAGGCGAAGCGGAATTCCCACAGATAGTAAGCCGAAGCATCCGGAAAGTGACACCAGTCACGGCGGGTAATTTTGGCGGGTTCCAGACCCATGGGGTACAGCGCTAGGCCGTAACTGGCTGAGGGCGTGGAGTCGATTACAAGCTCGAGCTTGGAAACTAACGATTCTGGATTTCCTTATCCAGAACCGCATGGTCGATGGGTCGGTCATGCGAAAATCAGAGATTGTTCATGTGAGCAGCAAAAAAAAATTATTATTATTATTATTATTATTATTGGATTTTTTGAATTTTGGAGAATCGGTTGAAAAATGGATCAATCAAGTTGCTCTACTAGTCACCGACTCGACTTACGACATCCTGAAGTACTACTTCCCCCAACACGTCCACGATACTCCGTGTCCGGTCCTTCGTCCTATTTATCTCCAGCTCTCGCACTCGGATTCTGGGCTCTCCTCATCGCTTTCTCTATACTCCTCATAGAACCTTTCTTCCTCTCCTCCCTCAAGCAATTGACCCTTCCCGGCTTGCTCTCCATCCTCCATTCCAATCAGACTTTCCTCTATCCTTCTCAATCCGCTTACCAAATCTTGATCCGAGATCTACAAGGTCATCCCCAAACACTTGAGGATATCCGCCAATCGACCGATCCCCCACCTGACAAGTGAGCGTGAGTGCGACTGGCAAATGATAATCCCTTCTTTCCATGCCATTCTCCAGTTTTCTCGATGCACGAAAATCAGTGGACTGACAGCTGCCGCTCAAACAGGCGAATCCGATTTCTCCACTTTTTCCCCGCCTTATCCGGACTCTATTCCGAGCCAACGCGCCATCCCCAGAAATTGCCATTAACTGCTTGGGTACGCTTGCTGCGAATGTTCCCGAAGCGTGTGAGAAGGGAAACTGACAAGCCAAGGTCATCCAAAAAATTAAACCGAAGCTCCAGCGAGAAAGCGTATATAAAGAGTCGAAGCAGTCGCCTTTCTGGAAAGTCGACTAGCCACGATCTCAAGTGTTGGAATTCATTGCGCTTGTACCCGTACTTCCTTGAACCCCACTTCCGAGCCGGATCGTGTTCCTACGCGCCCGCCAAACGTCATACACCACCAGTTCCCCAGTTTTTTGTTGCGATCAACCCTTTAGATCTCCCTCCATCATGCAGAGTATGTTCCACACACACACCTTTTCTTCCAAAGAGCCTCTCTTTTACCTGTTTTTCCTATTATTCCTTTGCCCCAGAATTTATGCCCCTCTGCGTCAGACCATGCAATCCCAGATCCGGTTTCCACAGCCGGCATGAAGTCAGATCTTCTCCACAAATTTCACTGGATCAGACACTGTCCGATACATACGCTAACGCGGCCATCAGCCAAGCACTTCTTCTCGGACCCTACCCATCTGGTCCAGACCGCCCTGAACTCCTTGACCCTCACAAACCCTTCTCTTGCCTATGACCCTGAAAACAAAATTATTTTCCGTCGTCCGGATACGACGAAGTCCAAGGTCGCGATTGTTTCTGGAGGAGGCTCCGGCCATGAGCCCGCCTTTGCCGGCTATGTTGGCAAGGGCTTCCTAGATGCCTCGGCCGCCGGTACCATTTTCGCTTCTCCCTCCGCAGAGCAAATTCGCAAGGCTGTCATGGACTGCGTCGACAACGAGAAGGGTGTCCTCATCATCCCCATGAACTACACCGGCGATGTCCTCAACTTCGGTATGGCTACGGAGAAGGCCCGCGCCGCGGGGATCAAGACCGAATTCTTCGCCATCAACGACGATGTTGGTGTCGGTAAGAAGAAGGGCGGCAAGGTCGGCCGTCGCGGTATTAGTGGTGGTATCCTCGTCTTGAAGATCGTCAGCGCGCTGGCCGAAGCTGGGTAAGTTGGATCCTTTCGAAGTGTGAGAAACGTAAACTAAGACGACCGACTGCATCAGTGGATCTCTTGAGGATGTCTACCGCACCGCTCAGTTGGCAAACAAGAACCTCGTCTCAGTTGGCTCGTCCCTGGAGCATGTCCACGTCCCTGGCAGAGCCCCACCGACGGAGACCATCCCCGATGGTGAGGTCGAGGTCGGAATGGGCATCCACAATGAGCCAGGATCTCACCGGGAGAAGTTCGAGCTGACCGAACTGGTCGCTACCATGCTCCTTCAGCTCTTGGACCACAACGATCCTGACCGTGCCTGGATCACTCGCAAGCCCGATGATGAGTTTGTGCTGCTGATCAACAACTTGGGCGGTGTGAGCGCTCTCGAACTGTCGGGTATCACCGATGAGGTGTACCGTCAGTTGAACAGAGACTACAACGTTCGGCCCATTCGGGTGATCCAGGGAACCTTCCTCACCAGTCTGAACGGCCTGGGCTTCAGCATCTCCCTGATGAAGCTCGTGGACACTGGACTGGGCGAGGGCAAGTCCTTCCTTGAACTCCTTGATGCCCCCGCTGAGGCGGTTGGCTGGTCTGCTCCCATCCGTCCTGAGACCTGGGAGCACCGCTCTGATGCTCCTGTTGAGCTGAAGAGGACCAAGTTGCCCGAGGATCAGCCCAGCAACGTCAAGCGTCAGTACCCCCTATCCGGTCGATTATTGCGGCCTGTTCTCTCCCAGCTATAGCTAACATAAATCATAGTGGATGTTGATTCCCTCAAGAAGGTTCTGGGCAGTGCACTCAAGCGTGTCATTGCTGCTGAGCCTGAAGTCACCCGCTTCGACACCATCGTCGGAGACGGAGACTGCGGCGTGGGCTTGAAGCGTGGTGCCGAGGCCGTCCTTAAGCTCATCGAAGACCCCTCGTCCCCGCTCACCGACGACGTCGTGAACGCGGTGAACCGCATCGTCAGCATCGTCGAGAACGTCATGGACGGAACCTCCGGAGCCATCTACGCCATCTTCCTGAACGCCCTGGCTCACGGTCTCCGCGAGCAAGACCGAGGCACCACCACCCCCGCCACGGTGGATGTCTGGGCTGCTGCACTTTCCTACTCCCTCACCGCACTCTCCCGGTACACCCCCGCCCAGCCCGGTGACCGTACCCTCTTGGACGCCCTTGTCCCCTTCTGCACGCAGCTCCAAAAGGCCAAGGACGTGCACGTTGCCGCCAAAGCAGCACAGGAAGGCACCGACTCCACCAAGAACATGAAGGCCAGTCTAGGACGATCCGTCTACGTCGGCGGCGAAGAGGAATGGGTGGGCAAGATCCCCGACCCCGGTGCTTACGGACTCAGCGTCTTCCTCAACGGTCTATCCGAGGCGTTGTAAGGGAGAGAGCGCGAAAAAAGTGTCACTTGCATTCTTTTCTTTTCTTCGGGACCAATGGTAAATATATATAATCTGCATCCGTTGATGAGGATATTATGGGATATTTTTTGGACTTTATTAATTTAATTTCATGATGATGAATATGATGATAAATTGGGCGCGATATTTTTGCATGTCTACATCTTTGTATTTACTGTTTAGTCTTCGGTATTGAATGGATAAGATCATGGTTGGATTCATTTATCTCGTACTTTCATATGAATATGGCAATATCGGATCAAGTAGGGAGGTAGCAACTTCATGCAATGGTCTGCCTTATCTTGAAATTGATAATCGATTATGTGAATTGCGATAATGGTGTACTCGTACATTGTTTTATCGATTTATCTGAGTATTAACAGTCAGACTATACCCAACCAAGTCAGATACACTTCATAACCCTGGCTAGGACTATCTAGCTCTCTCTCTCGAGTAAGATCCGATTCATCAATGCTCCTCCTACTTTTATCAAGCCGAGATACTCCACTTCAGATTCCTTTTTCTAGCTTTAAAAAACAAAAGAGTCCGGAGAACGCCAAGTCTGCCCCCGCCGTAAATCAGAGAGAAGAAACGGTAAAATTTGAGATCGGAAAAATAGCAATATATGAAACGAGAAGGAGAATATGAGAGCCAAGGTCCGGAGAGGGCTGGATTAAATGGGCGGGGAGGCAGATTGTACGTGATGATGTAATCTAACATCCCGTCCAATTCCGTAAGCATCGCACGACTAAAAGGGTATCGTTCATTCGTCTGTGTCAACTAGTATTCGTCTCCGTCGGATTTCAGCTCGATCAGAGAGAGAAGCCAAGCCCGGACCGGCCCAGGACCGTTCGAGAAGGGAATTGAGCGCGTCACGTGAACGGTGTTCAGCTGAGCAGGACGAGGATGACGGAGTCACCACGGAGGAACCTGTGATAAGAGGTTGGGTTAGGATTGTTTCTGGTGGGGAGCAATGGTGATTGCCTTACATCTTGCTGATGAAGCGGTCCTTGTTGACACCCTTGCCGTTACCACCCTTGGGCTTCTCGGTCCACATCTCCTTGACGTTCTCCAGGACCATGTTGCAGTGGCGGTCAAAGGCCTTGACACGGGCGAGGAGCTTGCGGTTGTTCCGGCAGGAGATCAGGACCTGGGTGTGTGTGCGCGTAGCGGTTTGGAGAAGAGACAAAGGACCGGCAGTGAGCTCATGTTCCTCAACGAGGGAAACCTCGTATTCACTGGATGAGGGGATAGGTTAGCGCATGGATGACGATGATGGGTGGGTTGATAGATAGATAGATATGGTGTGGCGCGATGAGAATTAGGCGCGCGGGACACTATCCGGAAATCGTGGGTGTGATGGGCATGGGTAGTTGGAATGATGGGTGTGCAAAGGGATCCGGCATCATGTGATAGGAACACGGGAATAGGAAGCTTTGATAAAAGCCGGAAAGAAGAGGAGGGGTTCGATAACGTACGTGAGCTCGCTCTTAGGCTTGTTGAGCAGGTCCCTATTGAATTGCAAGACAAGGTTAGCAATGAGGTCCGGCAGGTTGAGGAGCGGATTACACCATGACAAGAGCTAATGACTCATCGGGATGTAAAGGAGGGTAGGAAAAGAGGGGTAATTACTGGATCTTAGGATCGGTCGACATGGTGGGCGCGAGTATAAATATGAGGTGGGAGGTGCCGGTGCAGAGGAGGACAGCAAGGACAGGCTTGAACTTGATCGGGGACGACTTGAGAGCATCTCAATCCGCAGCTTCTGTTCTGGAAGCCTGGCTTGGCGCGGGTGCTGTCACGTGTCACGCGTGTTTGCCGTGTTTGAGCGGCGGGAATAGCCGAGCGCGCGATTGGCTGGGCGTCACGTCGCGTCCGACACGCTCGGATGCGCTCTCGTCCAAGCTTCATCACTTCTTCAAATGCAAGGCGTCTGCGCATTTTCTCTCCTTCCACCCTCACCTCTGTCCCTCCTCCTTTTTCCCTTCTCCCCCCCAACTCCTCGGCCTGCGGTTAAAGGGAGCAACCTCCAGTGCCTCACATTGGTTTAATCTCTCTCTCTTCCTTATTCTCTTTTCTGAACCTCCTCCTCTCTCCCATGCCTCAGGTTTCTCACCGCACCCTCTCCTCCTTTCGTTGCTCCGTGTCCCGCGTTGGCATTCCACAGGCTCTTTCCCCGCGACCTCCGTTGCATAGTACATCCACGCCTCGGCATTCCCCTGGCTGACACTCCCGCCAATTGGGCCTTTCTGAGTGGTCGATAACGCTAGACGCATATCCAACGATATTATTACAATCCTACCTTGCTTCGTTTTCAACGGTCGATCTCTTGAACCCTGTTGTTCGGGTTACACCTTCGACACTCCCTTTTCGAAATACCTTCCGAGCAACCCGGGTGCAACCCTTTTCTCTTTCTCCGGAACCTTACAGCCCTCTCACTCTACACTCCGTGATTTTGTGGTCTAGCATATGGTTGATTTCCTTCATCTGGTGGCATGGACTCTCAGGACGGGATTTCCGTCCGGCCTATGAGGCGTGAGTAATTTTTTTTTCTTTCCCTTTCGTGGTGTCAAGTCTGTTCGATACTAATTGTGTGGCTCCGAAACTTGCAGTGAAGGTGCTCTACACATTCGACGATGCCAACAAGACAAATTGTCTGGCCCGATGGCCCCATCTTCTCGACATCCAGACTGCTGCCCTCGATGAGAAGACCCAAATTGGGGTCATCGAATTGAAGACCTGCATTCAAGCCATTGTTTCGGCAAGGTGAGTGCTTTCGCCATAGGGTCAACCGACACTACGTGGATACTTATTGCAATGGTTTCATGTGACAGTCCGGAACTAGTTGCCAAACTTGGACAGGATTACACGGTGTACGCCTACGACTACTCCGAATATGAGACGCCCCTCGTCGGACAAGGGATGCTATCATGGGTGTTGGCTTCGTCTTCCCCGACTCCCGATGCACCAGCACATCAGTCGGAAACTATGGTCACCGGTCGTGTCTGCAAGAATGTTCTAGGGTTATTTTCGAAAGGTGCACAGGAAACATTGGAGGTCAGATTGCGATTAGTTCCTGTTCCCACAGTCATGCAGAGCGAGTACCTGGACAGCATGCAGAGATATCGCGAACTGAGCAATGTCATTCCCCACGACTTTGACGCACAGGCCTGGACGAATTTCCTTCGCCAAAACCCCGGTCTGCTGGCCCATCGTCCTCAACAGCCCGACCGGACGGCATCGCCTGTGGACCATGCCGGAATTGAGCGGTTCCATCGCCTACTGAGTGAAGGCTCCACGCCAAGGGAGCTGCCTTCGATTGCCGCCAATGGGTCTGTTCGCTCGGTGTCGCCCTCACAGTCTGTGCTTGGTCATGGAAGCAGGATGTCCACCCCTGGCTTCCAGCCATCCGCGCAGCAGCAAGACCAAATCCAGGAAAGATCTCACAGCGAACTTATTCGACCAACATCGAGTGCTTCTATGCGCGAGTCTGATCTCCCGATGCATGCGAGATATGCCAGCCGCAGAGGATCCATGCAGTCCGGCTACGGTAGTGGTGATGAATCATCGGAACAGCAACCTCGGAAAAGAGCCAAGTTGTATCGTGCGGATTGGCCCGGCAAGTCAGACTTAAATATTGAAAGGCAACCCAGCTCCCTTCGTGTGGCCGCAAGCACTGCGGCGTCCGTGCGTATCCATCGCCCTACCCCTGTCAATCCTTCAATCGCTGCTGCTCAGAGCTCAAATGAGGAGCCTGTTCGCCCGCCAACCCCGATTTCTCATGCGAATGAACTGCCTCGCCGAGCACGCCCCCGGCCCAGCCTCTTGCGTGAGTCGTCAATGCAGAGCACTCCTCAGTACACGTCACCATACACCGCGGCCGATGATCATCCAGGTGACCACAACACCCAGTCGCCGGAGGAGTCTCGCTACCAAGGCATCTTCGAACCTTCATTCAATATGCCGTCTTCGCCTCCCGTTCTCGACTGCGGCTTTCCGAACCGCTCCAGCCCAGTTCTCCCGCCTATGGCCACTGACCCGGATTCAGGCTTCATGAGCGGGGGCATGGACGATCTCCTGGATGAGGATATTGGTACGCCGCTGGAGGACTGCACAAGATCCAATGATGCAACTCGAGGCAAACGAAGTGTGCGTCCTGCTGTGCCAGCGAGCTCACCTGTTGGGCCCATGAACCATGATACTTATCCCGCCAGCGATGCCCTACCGGATCAAACCGCTAAGGACAAGGTATCTGCGGTTCCTCGTGCCCCAGCTAGTGCTGCGGGGTCACGGCCATCGTCTCGTGCTGGTATCAGACAAACTCCCAAGCCTCTCGCGCCCGCTCCCATGTCGCAAAGCGAATTGGAACAGCTGATGAGTGCTATCCCGGCGAGTGATCCGGTAATGCCTACCCATGTGCATGTGCCCAACACACAATCCTGGAATGGACCGATGAGTGACTTTTCAGTCGCGGAAACACCCGCACCTCCACCCCCTACTGAGGACGGCAAGGTTCGCAGTGGCGCTGGTGCGAGACGAGTGCGGCAGGTTCAAGCACGTCTTGCCCAGTGCATTCGGGACGGACAGGCTCCTCCTTATTGTGAAAACTGCGGCTCGATTGAAACCCCTACCTGGCGTAGGGCATGGTCCAAGGAGATCGATGGTACCGAAGAAGAGGCCATTGATCTCGTCAAAGATTCTGCTATGTTGTTCTGGCAAGCCGTGGATCGCGATGATCAAGAAAAGGTCACCAAATTCAAGATCTACAAGAAGAGCCTAGTGGATACTGATAAGGACTTTGTTCAAGTCCTACTCTGCAATCGTAAGTAACCCTCCAGTCAGTTCATTCTTTCAGTCACTAATTATATTCTAGCCTGTGGTCTTTGGCTTCATAAGTTCAAGTGCATGCGTCCAGAAAACAAGTGGAACAACAAGTCCGGCAACAACAAGAGGAAGCGCCCTCCCAGGAACCGCAAGGGCGGCGGTCCGCTGTCCGGTAACCCTCCATCGGCGAGGAACCGCGTCAGAGCTGAAGCCGGAAAGCCCGATGCCTCTTCGCCCGGCGTATCTGATGCATCCTCACCTCCAGTGGACGATGGCACTACTCCCCGCGGTGATAACGAGAACAATGAAAACAACGAGAACGAGCCGAGCAGTGTGCAGGACAATGATGATGTCCAGGAGCTCCCAGCCAAGCGACGTCGCGCAAACAGCCTGGAACCGCGCAAATCGACCGATACTGCGGGAAGCCGTTGGCACGAGAATGATCCGGTGGAAGCCCTCCGAGCAGCGATCCAGTCCAGTCCAGCTAGAAATCTTGAGCACCGCAATGCTTCTGCTGCGGGTGAGAATGCTCTTACTCCTAAGTCTGTGAGAAGAGTGCTTTTTCCTAATTCGCACAATGAGGGCGGGCCTTTGCGAGCTTTAGGTGACTCCACCTTGAACAGCCCCCGGCGGAGCCCTCGTGTCAATAGCGGATCGGACAAGCGATCTGACGACAAGGAAAATCAGACTTCTGCTGGCCTGGACGATCTCTTCGAGAGTCCCGAGTTTGACTTTGATTTGCCCACCAGCCCCACTCCTCGGCGTCGCAACCCCCGCGCCAGCGTTCTGGGCGAGAAGCGGCACTCCCTTCCCGGCGATTCGCCTTCGCGGACCCGGAAGGGACTCGGCAGCGATGCGACGCCCACCAGGGTCACCGCGCAAAGACTTCAGCGGATCCAGAGCAGCCCGGGGCCGGCATCGCGCCACAGCAAAACGCCCAAGCAATCACGCACGCAGGGCCTTGGGCTTCCCGCTTTGGCAGATGATGCCTTCAGCGCGGACGCGTTTAGCGGGATAGACAACATGATTGTGGATATCTTCTCGGACGCACCTTCCGCCAATGCTGACGCGCTTTTCGCACTCGATGCGAACAAGGGCAATTGGCCTGACTGGATCCCTTCGGACTATGTGTCTCCCACGGGAACTGACGGCGAGCCAGCTGGTGAAGACTCTCAGGATCTCATCAATGCGCTGCTGTCTGATCCGGACCTCCAAAAGAACCCCCAATTCGATATTTTCAACTACGTTGACAACAACGTCCTGGACTCTGGCTTCTTCAGTTCCGACGCACTCAACGCCGACAGCTTGGCCCTGGGCGTGAAAGAGAAGGCGTCTGAAGAAGCAGCCAAGGACAAGGAACCCCAGACTACCAATGATGCTTAATGAGTCTCCTTTTTGTGTTATGACGATGCCGACTTTCACTTGATATTTCTTTACCTGTGTTTTTATTCTAGCGATGGCGTTGGATGGATAGGCAATGGTGATGTGCCATCTGCCGCTACTGTCTTTCTTTGGGGATAACCTAAGGCTATGATATGCTTTTGTTGGAAGTGGTTTGAATGGGATGGATATTACGGATGGAAACTTGGGAGGATTGAAGGATTAGAACAAGATACCAGCACTCGATGCTTAACATACAATAAATGAATAATAATTGTCAAGCTGTGTTTGTTGTAGTAGATTGTAAGTCAACCGTATAACATTTTGATGGAAGATATCGTAATTTAACCCAACGCCAAAGAAGAACCCGAACACGATGCAAATGACACCTCAGCTGCAGGACACATAAAGATACTAGTACCCACCCAGCACCGCAAGATATCTCACGTAGCTCAACATGCCTTTTACCCATCCACTAACCCATTCATCTATACATATCCTCCCTAACAGCCCACCTACTCATCATAGAAGATAGGCTTGAGCTTATGCGTAGCATTGACAACATGCTCATAGATCTTGTAATCTACAATCAATCAATCAATCACAATTAGCACCTATCTTTTCCTCTTTCCCAAAACACTCCCCAACAAAAAAAGAAAAGAAAAGAAAAGAAAAGAAAAGAAAAGAAAAGAAAGGGGGGGGGAAGGAGACCTACCACAATCCGCCGGACTCCCCCAATCCGTACTGCCTAGGACTCTAATACCGACACCCTATACACCACAACATCAGCCATTATCCATTATGCATCCCAAAACCAACCTCATCCCACTTCCAAAGACACCAGAAAAGAAAAGAAAAGGGAAAGGGGTATCAAACATACACTCCCATTATCCAAATCAGCGACCTTGCCAATAATCTCGACCAACTTTCCCATCTGCAAATGCGAATCAGGCTTCAAGATGAGCGTCACATCGCCGTGGTTTCCGCACGTCATGGTCGCCGTGTCGCCGCGCAGAGCAGTCACTGTTCCTAGGATGCGGACGGTATGCGAGGTACGTGGGCCGGTGGAGGAGGGGTGGAAGGCGTGGAGGTGGGAGGGGAGGATGCGGGGGGTTTGGAGGGACATTTTTATTTCTTCCTTCCTTTCTTTCTTTCTTTCTTTCTTTCTTCGATGCCTGTGGTTTGTTGGTTGGTTGGTGGGTAGGTTGGTTGATTTGTTTGTCGGTTTGGTTTATAGTGAGGGGAGAATTGGGGGAAGAGGGGG